TGATGCAGCTGGTAAATGTGGGGATGATTATGGAAGTCTCATAATAATGCAGCATGATGTATTTGGTGATTATTATTAATCTGAATCTGCATAGTAACTAATTACTAAAATTATTGGTGTAAAGTGTAGAAATATAAAGTATCAGAAAAACTCCAGTAGAGTAAAGTAGATCAAAACTGACTTAAATACAGAACTGGAGTCAATATACTTAGTTACTTTCCAACATTGTTTTTACTGCATGGATCGTCCTAGTTTAAAGGTTGAATGGTTCATACGTTTTGTTTCTTTATTATTATTTATTTGTCCAAGTGTGTCTCAATACAATACTCACAGTCTATATTTAGTGTTGTGTGTATTGTATTATTATTGCTATAAATAGTCTTGTGTTGGTCATTTTATTGAATCTGATTCTAGAGTCAAATCAGTTTTATCAGAATCCTTTGAAATCCATCAGATGTAAAGTTTAACTTACACATTTACATCATTTATCTGAGATGATGTTTCATATTTTGTTCCCATGATGCTCAGCTGTGCTCACATCTACTGCTCATTTTACAAACTTTGATGAGAGATTTTGAGCCAAGAAAACGTTCTGAATAATGGAAGTAAAATAGTGTTGGGGTTTGAATTTTATCAAATCCACATCCTTCTATTAAATCTAATTATGTTTAATTTTTAACCTTTTGAATTAACTGTAACTTGTTTGTTAATTAAGAAATGTTAGAAAAGACAAATTAAGAAATGTTTTGAATAAAACTGTAGCTCCCTTCAATGAAAACTGACATGAGGCTGCTGTGTGATTGGTCGTTCCTTCAGATTCCCCACTCTGCTGACAGCTGATAATCTTCATCTTCATCAGGTGGTGTCACCTGATGAATACAGCAACAGTATGTTTCTCCCTTCTCCAAAAGTCATAGTGAAACTTTACAACCCGTGAAGCTCGAGGTTCATAAACTGCAGACTAATCAGACAGATGTTCCAGTTAAACAGCTGGCAGACGCTCCAGTCGGCTGACTGCCCATCACTGCTTCATTCACTCACATTTGTGTCTACATTTACACTCATGGCTGTCAGCAGCTCTGTGGCTGCCTCCCTGTCTTCTTCAGGAGTTAGGACGTTCATGTCCATTCCCCTGAGCTGTTATGTTGATGATGATAAATTCAAATGAAGTTTTAGCTGCTAAACTGATGGATGAACTAACCTGAACACAAACATTATGACACATCAGTTAAAATCAGTTGAGCTGTCCTACCTGCTAATCTGAACCAAACTGTTTAAAAACAATAAAGATGAAATGAAATGAGTTGTAGGCTAACCTCAACCTAACATTTATCTGCTACTGTGGATTTTATTGAATTAGATCAGTAATCCACATCCAGATCCTTAGGACACCAACTGAGTCGATTCTTCCGAGCCCTTTTTGCCAACAGTTACAGATGACTTCTGTTCCTCTCAGCCCCCTCTGTTAGCTCCATTGATCCGCTCCCAGCTGCCAATATGGCTCCCTGCTGAGGACATCGGAGGTCCAGTAAAACTGACCTGAGCACTGCTGAGTTCCTGCAGATCCCAGAACACTGAAGTTCAGCACATTACTGTCAAAGAGACACTTTCTTAGCCTCAGTTTAAACTCAACATTAGGCGAAAGTTGGTGGTTTAGTTTAAGTCCATTAACTACAAATCATACAGGCATACTGTCAGGTTTTTTTTTCCAGTTAATTTCTGTGAGCTAACTCATAGACTTAACTAAATGAACTGGTTATTGTGCGTTAGCTCGCAGAGATCAACCTTCCTGCAGCAGAGGCAATACGTCACAGTCAGTGTAATGTAATTGTTTTAGCTACATTATCATCATGTGGTCGTGAAGTTGAGAGCAGGGACTGTTCTCTCAGCCATTATTAGTTTCCCCAGGATGAATTTGTACATATAAACATTGTGTTCTGGTGTCAGTGAGCTGGAAAGACCTCCTACTGGTTTTAACATTGTGTATCAGCTGTATACTCTTACTACCTTTCTAAATCTAGGAATAAATTCAATTGTAGTGCCACTCTAGTACCAGCCTTTCATACTGTACACATTGCCTTTTTACTCGTGGGACTTTGCAGTGTCCCATTTTGCCAAATTGCTGACATATTGCTAACAGCTAACGGTACACTATCAGAAACCAATTCTTCTTCACTGCTCTAGAAAAGTAGTTTCCAGTGGCTGCATGGCGCAACATCCTTTTAGAGCGGCACAGAAGAACTGATTTCTGAGAAAACTGCCCTTTTGCCCTGGTGCGAAACTCTAAAGTTTATTAATTCATTAATTACATGGTATTGGATCAGTGCATAGACTCATGTACTCGCCGATACCTCACCGATGATCAAATGATGAAGGAAACTCAAACAAACTGGCTTCATGGTCACTTACCCAGGAGCTTAGTTGGTATAAAAATAACACAGTGGCCGGGCTGTCAAGAAATCATAGAAATACCAGGATCTGATATATTGCAACATCTGGACAAATTCCACCCACTGAGGCCTCAAGAAACTGAGGAGACATAAGATGCTGCAGCTTACTGGGAACAATACAAACACAGAAACTGCACTATGAAAAAGCTGGACACTGATAAATGGACGTTTCCGCTGCAGGACGGCAGTTAAATGTAAATAGAGTAGAAGAGTAGGTGAGATTATGGAGGATTTGGATCACATGTAAAAACAACATCCTTCAACGCAGAATAATCCCTATCAATTAAATTAGTGTATTTAAATGTAATGCATAATGTTTATAAATTTATTTAACTTCATTTCATCAATACGAAAACCTGTGTACACAAGGAGACAGTGCACAGCTTTGAAATTAGCCTCCAAGTTTTTATAAAAAAGTAAATGAGCTCACAGATATGAGCATTAACTGAGCAGACAAGGTCGTGGCCTTATTTTCTGAGGGACTGAGACATAATCCACTGCAGCAGGTGCACGAGCACAGAGCCGCAGTTCATTACCTGCCGATCTGATTGACTGTACAGTCTGAGCTGTTCTGCATATGTGAATATAAAGAGTTTAATTCCACAGTGACTCAGATTCATTGGAGAAAAGTGGGAACATCCTCTTATACAATAAATCATTTTATCACCTGGAAAACAATTCACACACGTCATCAGTTTTAAAGTGAAGGCGGACTGAGTCCATGATGGAGGAGCTCTGTAGAACTGTGTTCAAGTGTAAATGTCAGTTTACACATGTATGTTGTTGACTGCAGGTCAGAAATCATTGTAGTCTGTTCAAACACTGGAAGCAGCCAAACTTACGAATCTATGTTATGGGCTTTTTATTTAAAAGTCATAATTACAACTGAATTAAAAGAAAATACATTTTAGCTCTTAAATCAGTAGATATTTCCATGGGGTTTGGTTTGTTTGGTGAACCTGTAGCAAATCTATGATTCCCATATATGGTCTGAGCGTTTTGATTATATTAACCTTTATTACTCAGCTTCTGAAGCAGATAGAAACATGACATAAAAACCATCCGAGATCTTAAACCTTTGGCTTTTATTGTAAATCGTAGCATTTTCCTTTGAAACTGGACATGGCTGGAAAAACAGCACATTTCTTAACATTTTCAGTTCAAGGTCAACTCTTTATATCGTTTATTGAATTTTTTTTTTAATGTTGATGAACTTTGGGGTAAAGGCAATGAGTTACGATAAAACTCAAAGGTTTACGGTCTCACATGGTTTTTATTTTATGTTTTTTATCTCTGGCCAGCGGTGACACTGGCTCCTCCTCCTCCTCCTCCTCAGACATGTCTCTCACCCTGAGCCCTGACTGGCAGGTTAGCAGGTTGAAGTCAGTGTCTGAATCTTCTACGTCGCTATCTTTGTTGTTTTCATACAGGTAACTGCTGTAATCTGCTTCAGTCTCGCTCCCCTCGCTCAGGTCGTCGGGCACTGTCCGAAAAACTTCTTTGCAGCTCAAACCACAGAAAAAAAAAATATATATATATATATTTCCCATAATGGATTTCTCCTTCCTGACACAAATGTCAGCGAATCACAGTTCATTTCATTTGTCACATGTCTTAAAAATGACAATACAGTCCGTGTGTACGTCTCATCCAGTCTTAATGGGTTAAAGTGCAACACCTGATGTGAACACTGGGTGATCACTGTCCTCATGGAATATCAGACACAGGTGATTTCTGTGTCACATCTGAATGATGTGATGGTGAAAACAGTCTGATAATGAGTCAGAAACTGAAGCACAGAGATGTAAATCTCAGTTGTGGCCCAGTCCGTGGCCCAGTTCTGGAGCGGTTGTGTTCCCTGAGAATCTGAAATTGACAGATTTTTTTTTTTTTAAGGGAAAAAAACTGTGTAGAAATTTAAGACAAACCCTTAAAAGAACATAAAATAAACCATCACAGGAGCCGGAGACAGGAAGTTGGCCCTGTGTGGTGTGGTGTTGTTCAGTGGTTTGTGCAGTGAAATGTGGATCAGTGCAGCTGTAAAGTGTTTTCTCCTCACAATCACACAGAGCTGGATTCCTGCCCGCTCTCTAATCTCCTCCTCTTCCTCGTCTCACTTCAAGTGATTTATGGCTCTGTACAATGAAAGGTGAAGGCCGCATGAGGCAACATCCAGAAACCTCTGTGTGTGTGTGTGTGTGTGTGTGTGTGAGAGTGAGAGTGTGTGTAGCCTTATAGCTGGGGGGTGAGATCTAGTACAGCAATTTAAAACTTCCATCCATCCATCCAAACATTGTGATAGTCAGGAAACCCTCAAAAAACGAGACTCTGAACTGAACAAAAAAAAACTGCTGCATTGAATAACATCTTTAGGAGAGAGGTCAACTACAGCTCCCAGCATGCACTCCTGCAAGAAATCAGAAAGTTTCCGATCCTGTTAACATGCGGCTAACTGCAGGGTGGAATTAGAGGTGGAATTGGATAAAAACCTTTTTTCTTCCTGACTGCTTGAGGAGTTTTGGTCACGTGACTTGTCTTTTCTTCCCGCAGCTACGGTGACATGGTTCCCAACACCATCGCGGGGAAGATCTTCGGTTCGATCTGCTCTCTGAGCGGCGTGCTGGTGATCGCTCTGCCCGTCCCCGTCATCGTCTCCAACTTCAGCCGGATCTACCACCAGAACCAGAGAGCAGACAAGATGAGAGCACAGCAGGTCTGACAGGTTTATGTGACTGCAGGGTGCAGCAAGTAGAATATGGCTCTATGGTAACATGTAGTGACAGCTACAACAATGACTTAAATATCACAGGCCTTTTATATTTTTTAACAATACAGTGCTGCAGTGATGACAGATTTTTGTATTCCAACCCTGAAATTGTAGCGTCACCCTCGTTCCCTCCACTAAAAGCCAATGGGAGAGAAAATTCACTAAACGTTTATGATACTGACGCGTTTTGTTGCGCACGATAATCTTCACTAATGAACACCACTTTATGATGTTTGAAGCTTAAATAAAATCACCAGAAGTAAAAAGCTAATGTTAGGCTATAAACCAACTACACCACGGTCACATGACTTCAACTTCACCATCACTAAACTTCAACTTATAGTTTGATTTAGCTCTGACCTCTTCTACAAAAGCCTTTCCTCTTACAAATTTAGTAACGGTTTGTAAGAGCGCAAGTATAAACACAACGAGGCTGTAAAGGTGGACTGCGGAGTAGATCGGTGTTCATGTTCGCTGTGACGATGTTTAACGTCCCCGACAACCTCTGTAGTCTCATTTAGACACTTGTTAGCAACCAGCCTTTTTTAAGAGACGTAAAGAAATCAGGACTGGGGTATTTACGAATGTATTTTATGTTGTAGAAAAAAACATGAAAATGTCTTGAGTCTGTGTTAACCACAGTGTGTCTTTGGGTAGATGAATGAAATATCTTCCATCCATCTAACCAAAAACACACTCAAAAAACCAGAGCCTTCAGGACAAGGGAACAGGAAGTGGTAAAATGCAACTGATTTCCGGGTTTTAGGACTCATTCCTACACAACTCTTTATGCATGTCAGTATTTTACTTTGAAATGTTAGTGCTGTCACCTTTAAACAAACTGTTAAGGCTTCAGTACAGTGTGTCATGTCTGAGGTGTTTCTACCTCTTCTGAATGACCACAGTTTCCCTCCTCTTCCTCTGTAGCTTTAGCTGCACAAAGAACATTATTTTTAGGTGCTTAGAAGTTCATCTATTCTTTTCCACACAGAACACAGTGTCGTCTGTATTCAATAAGACCTTTATAGTAATCCCAACACTTACTTGGATATTAGTTTTATTTTTCAGTAGCTTCTTATTCTTTTCTGTGGATATATTTTCTGTTATTTATCGCCTGCTGCCACAATAATGTCATTTCCCTGTGGTAATAACAGCTTCATCTGCTCTGCTCTTGTCCTGTTCTCTAGTCACGCAGTGAAATAAACACAATGCACCTTTAAAGATGTAGAGAGACGACAAGTCTGAGCTTCACTTTAACCTCAATGCTCCCATACACTGCAGGTTTTTGTGTGTGTGTGTGTGTGTGTGTGTGTGTGTGTGTGTGTCTGTGATTGCGACAAGCTGCTTTTCCGTGTGTTTTCTGTCCGACAGAAAGTGCGCTTGGCTCGGATCCGCATGGCAAAGAAAGGAACAACCAACGCCTTCCTCCAGTACAAAGAAGACAGAGCGATTGGGGTGAGACACACACACACACACACTGACAGTCGATAGTTTCTCACTATCAAGCAGGAAGGGTGGATTGCAGTCCAGTTAACTCAGACAGTGATGCAGAGAGAAAAAGGAAGAGATCAGAGACAGAAGGGAAGGAGGGATATTGAAATGAAAGAGAGACACAGCAGGGTGGAGAGAGAGGAAGGGGGGAGTTGTGGACTGAGATAAGTGGTGCAGGATCAGGTGCAGTTGGGGTCTGTGACCAGGCCACAACAAGTGTAAAAGCCATCTGTAGAGTTTGGTCACTTTCTTTGGAAAAAGACTATAACCTGGAAGAGCAGGGTGGTGTGAGCACAAGCTCCTCCACTGGCTGGTGAACCTTATTACAGGAGGACTGATGAAAGCTGGGTTATGGAGCCCACCGAGAGGTGGATAAAAAAGGCCTTTGATCAGATGTCATTGTCCAGATGACATGAAAGTGCAAGTCACAGGTTGAGGTGGAGTCATATTTATTCATGTTTGATCGAGTCCCATCCAGACCTACCTGTAGCTACCTGCATATCAGAGAGAGATAAAGAGAGTACAAGAGAACGAGACAGAGACACAGATGCAGACAGATACGGAGATGCTGCCTCAGCAGTTTGGCTCTTCACCAATAGTCCATCAGAGAAGCTTTTTCCCAACAGCCACTTGGCAAAACAACAATGAAACCAGGTGAGTTGAACAGTGAGAGGGAGGTGGACAGTAGCAGAGATGAGTCTCAGCCTCATTGTTTGCAAAGTGAAGGTGGAGCTGATTCAAAACAATGAGGGTTTTCCTTTCACCAGCGATCTCAGCAGCTGGTGTCTTAAACCTCATCACAGTTTAACAGAACTGAATCTGAACACTGAACATCATCCTCCAGACAAACTGACACTCACCTGCAGTTGCCGACAGAAACCTGAGCAGAAACTCAGAGAGTCAGCAGAGTCATGCAACAGAAACGTGGCTGATAGCTGTGATTGCTTAGTTGTGACATCACAAAGTCACAGCAGTCCTCCTATTAAGGCTCAGTTTTTCTATGTATGTAGACTTTGATACTAAAATACAGTATTAATATAGAACCTTGACCTGCTTTATAATTAAAAAACACACGGACATCTACCTTTATATATATATGGGACCTTTAAACCTGTTGTTGTTCAGGGTATATGAAAATAACAAGAACATGAAATTACTTTTGATCATGTCTTATAGTAAATCTAATGATGTATTTGGCAAATATTATTCAGCAGGTCTCGATAAAAAATTATCAACAAGAAATAAAATATAAAAAAATTACACACTTACATCGGGACCAAAACAACAGGCCCAGTAGTGAGTGTCAACATAGAGGAGAAAACACACACACACTTTAATCTGTGCACTGTTAAGTAAATAGACTGATCCCACTTACTGTGAACACAAAGAATCAGGACAGTCTGATTTTAATGTGCAGGTGAACAAACTCACATGTGAACATGACTGAAGATCTGAGGAACTATTTTTTTTCAACTTTTGGCTTCATCACGACTCAGAGTCTTTGTGTTTCTTCAGTCAGAGGATGAAACAGTCTCTGGGTTTAAATGTTTTATCACTGGAATGGGTTTAAGCTGCAGGTAGAAGATGAAGACACACACATACACACACTCATAGATATTGTTGAGTCCTAATCCCTCTTCAGCACTGAGCAAGAAAGAGGGATGACTGTTGGATTTATAGAGTGCATAATGAGGACGAAGAGGAGTAGGAGGAGGAGGGTGAGGAGTGGAGGGTATGGCAGCAGAAGAGAATGGAGGAAGTATAAAATAATAGGATGAAGAAAAAGTGGGGGAGCAATGCTAGAGAATGAGGAGAGGAAAAGGAAGATGAGTGTGTTTGTGTAATCTGAGACAGAGATGGAAGATCAGAGAGCGTCAGTCCAGAGGGAAGGATGGAGAGGAGGAATAAATAGCAAGAGAGAGGAAGAGGAAGAAGAGGAGAGAGATTAGTTGGGCGGCGAAGAAACAGTGAGAGATGGAAGGGATCAGATTAAAATGAGAGAAGAGACTTAAACATTATTAAATGTCCTCTGGTTGTCACTTCAGCCTTCTGGAAACATTCATGGAAAGTTAAAGGTTTAATGAAGTTTGAACATGGACAGATTCTCAGGCTGAAACACTGACGAAAAGGAACTAGTCTGACATTTTTAACTCTTCGTTTTCTGATACGTTTTTTTGAATGTTTTGTTTTTTGCTTCATCCATATTTTCTCACTCGTCCCACCCAAAACCCAAACGCTGTGGGTGAAGTGGGAAAAAATAATTTTCTTGAACTTGTCTTTAACATCAAAACACTCACTTACACAAAATCTAACATCTGTTAACAAAACACAGCGAGTGAATGATGAATGAGTGAACCTGACTCACCTTTTAGTACGGTGCCCCTGAGAGCTCAGCGCACTGCAACTGAAGAAAATGCCAGTGTAAACAGGAAGCAGATTGTTTTCTCTGCAGTTGATGAGTCGCACAAAATCATCTGAATGAGGAACAGCAAAGACAGTTGTAGCATTAAAATGCAGAATTTAACTGACCAACAGCTGATAGCAAAGACAACAAAGTCAGTAACACTTGTAATTCATTAACAACACAACCCCAGAGTTTTCAAAGTAAAACGGGGCCAGCAGAGTTTCCAAAACATAGTATTGTGGACGTAGACTTGGGTCCACCATATTTTAGCCTTGATGTGAGAAGAGCATAACGACAAGAACAGATCTGCTTCACATCATTTTGTTCGAACACACAGTCAGCGCAAACTGTGGCCTGTCAGAATTTAGTTTGTGTAAAATAAAACAAGGTCATAATCGTCAGTATCCACTGTTACCAATGTGTATAACTTCAGCTCCGAATGTGTTTGTAAGAAATGTTAAAACCACAATGACACTCTGGACTAAAATGATCAAACAGCAGTGATGTGGTTTCTCAAAGATGCTCGGTTTAGTACTGCTGATTTGCTTTCCTAAATGTGAAATTATTGACTTAATACCATTGTGTACAACTAATGTGTGTGTGTTTGTGTTTTATTTTGTGTGTGTGTGTTTGTGTGTGTGTGTGTGTGTGTGTGTGTGTGTGTGTGTGTGTGTGTGTGTGTTTAGGACCGGGACAGTGACAGCACGGCTCTGTGTGTGAAGAACAAATCGGCGTTCGAGCATCAACACCACCACCTGCTGCACTGTCTGGAGAAAACAACGGTGAGGACTCGGCTTGTCTCACCTCTCACATCATACACACACACACACACACACACACACACACACACACAAACACACAAACACACATACAGACATCTGAAGGATGATGTTAAAAATAATATAACATTTTTAGATTCTAATGCACAAACATGAGTTTAAAAATACCTTCAACTTTTCTTTATCTTTGCACAAGCAGCCTCAAAATAAACTCAGACGCCTTTAAATTGCTTCATTTCATGTTTCAAATGTTCCTCACTTTGTCAGTTCAGGGAGCAGATATTTATATCAATATGTAAATATTAACAAATCATTAATCTGCCAGAGGGAGGGGGGGGGTTAGTACACATGATTGATGCATTTATTGACATTAATCCATCAGATTAAAGATGCAGAAGCTTTAATGTGAGTTCTTATAAACTGCAGTGTGTGATTCAGATTTTGTCTTCTGCAGCTATTTAGTGTCAGTTCTATGAGGTGGTTGTTTGAAAATGTCTTAAATTTACATGATGAACTCAATCTCAGCTTCGTGTAATGATGTAAAAAACCGGAGTGAGGTTCAGTTGAAAAGGTAAAAAGTCTTCACTGGTTGATCCATGTGGAAAACACGGAAATAAAACGACAAGATTGTTCATGTATTAATGTGTGGAGCAACTTCGGCTTCTTGTTATAGAACAGGGTTCAAGAAAAGGAAAACTTCAGACTGTTATCTTCAACAACCCTGCTTGGAAAATAAAAAAACATTTGACAATAAATACAGAGGTTAAATCTAGCATTAACATCCAGGACTGAAAAAGGAAGCCAACACTGAAGTACCCAAAACTGCAGTTCCTCTAATGGCCACTAGAGTCTGACTCCCACAGTGAGTCAATCCCCGTAGAGTCCCATGTTAAAATTTACAGCAGAAGTAAACATGTTTACAGCCTGGTACAAAATATTGTTTTGGTCTCTATAGGGAATTTCCTCTTACTACAACTGTATGGGGTTGAATTTTTATTTTTATTTATTAACTCACCAGTTTACATTTTATTAAGGCTTAAAGTTTTGCATAATTGAGAGCCTGGCCACTTTGAGTGACAGGTGGGTGACCATATGCTTGCCACGAACTCGCATGCATTTAAGTCCCGGCTCCACACACGCCCCACCCCAGCTGTGAGTTAGGGGCGGAGTTGGGCCCTGCCAAGATGGTGACAGTAGAGCAGCTCACTCTGAGCTTCAATACTGCTCTTCAGAAATCTATGGGTGACGTCACAGAGGCAACGTCCATCTTTATTTACAGTCTGTGGGTTATTATTTATTATAGTTTTATTCTTGGTATTCTTAAACTAAATGTTTCACTTTTAGAGGAGAAAATACGTGGAGGATCAGGACTAACTGATAAAATGTGTCTTAGGGTTAATGTTAATATGTTTGCTATCAATGCAATCTGTCGGTTGTTGTTTTAATTAAATCAGTAGCTGCCATCTCAAAATTAAAATCTGCCTTTGTTTTCTTCTGTGTGAAATCAAGGAACGCGTTTTTCTTAAAATACCACAAATTGCACACAAACTGTGCAACTATGCAAAGTGTAACAGATGGAGCAACAGCAACTCAGGGGGTGAGCAAAAACATCTATTTCATTCAGTCATTTGAAGCCCCTCCTCTCTAACATCCAGCTGTTGGTTCATATCACAGAGTGATGATAGAAAACACTGTGAGTCCAAGGAATAAGTCTCCTTTTTTCATTTCATTCTTTTTTCCCTTTTTTGACACAAATCAGTGAAGTTATAGAAATAAAAAGACTCCAGGCCGAGTGTCTGTCTGTCTCCATGTCTGACCCCGCCCCCTCGTCTCCTTTCAGAACCATGAGTTCACAGACGAGATGACCTACAGCGAGCTGTGTATGACAGAGTCGGTAGGCTTCCGGACCAGCCGCAGCACCTCCCTGTCGAGCCAGCAGGGGGCGCAGAACAACTCCACCGGCTGCTGCCCCCGCCGGGCCAGGAGGAGAGCCGCCATGCGACTGGCCAACTCCACGGTGTCCGTGAGCCGAGGCAGCATCCAGGAGCTGGACACCCTGCACGTCAAGACCACCTCCATACCCCCACAAACGTAAACACACACACTCAACTGATACACAACTGTAGACACACATGAATCACTACACACTGATGACAAACTGTGAAATATGAAAATACATGTATTTGTGTTTTTTATGTTAATTATCAAATGATTTTGCCTCAGTTTATGACATCCTGGAGGAATTTGCATCTATAACTGGGGTTTTCAACCGGTGAGCTGCAGCCCTCTAGTGGTCAGTGAATGTATTGCAGGTGGTCCATGACCATGCATTGAATAATTTAGTATCACTATGGGAATCACTTTTATTTTATTTTTTTTAAAAACACATTTCCATGTATTAATTATTGTTGGTATGCGTCCTTAATGTCACATGTCTGTGCATAATCTACAGATCCACACCCGAAAATCAAGGAAGTAGGTTTAGTCTCAACATTGGTGTGGACACAACAACTGATCTGTCAACCGAGTGGTTTATTAACATATGATCTGTATTTACATAGAAAAAACTATTCGCAGTAACATATCAAAGACTAAAAGTAAACTTTAGTAAATTACTTGTTAAAGGAACAGACATCAACATGTTCATATTCAATATTCACCAGTGCTGCAGTTCACCTTTTCCCCTTGATTTCACTTTTAAAACCAGCTCCACCTTCACCAGCTACAACAGTAAAATGCTGCAAATCCAGTGATGTATCATTATTAACAATCTAATAATGAAAGGCTGGTGACATTAGCTTGCTAGCAGGTTTTCATGTTAAATCACTGTGGCTGCTCACCGGTTAGTTTACTACTTATTACTGAACCAAATATTCACCCATGTGTGAGGTTTGGACTGACAGCACTGATCCACTCTCCCTTCCTCTGCATCTTCACTAACTTTGATATTTGTACTGAAGTGAGCCTCCAAGCTGTCCTGCCCTTTCAGCCAATAAAATTCTTGCATGCCTAAATTGGTCGTCTTGGAGACGTAGCCTCTGGAGGGCACATCAGAATTATCTACTATGAATTCACTCCAAACAGGGTGAACGAGTTCACTCAAATATTGGTGGGTTCATGTTCCTACTGTCCACATGAAAACTCCACCTGCCAAACATATTAGTTTACTGATCAGCTTCTATAAAGAGGCTCTACTTGATTTTACCAATGAAAAAACCTTTTGCAAGTTCAGTGAAAAGGAAGAGTCAGGGCCCGCTCTTAGGGCCAGGAACACACTAGATGAGTCACCTGTGTGTCGCGGCTGTGGAACGACTTGGTTTTCACTTTGGCGCACATCTTAACACAACTGTGTCATGTGATCTAGAGATTCGGCCTCTAACCTATTTTTCATGCTTGACACATGCGTCTCCCAGCAAAAACATGTCAGATTAACATCATACCAGCAACATTACATAAAACTGACACCTCACTCTAGTTTCAATGTCTAGGCTGATCCTGAATATGACACAGACTTTTTTCTTCTTTTTAGCAGCTGCGTGTATGTGGAGCATTTTAATGACGTTTTCTGTTAAAAAAAAATAATTCAAAGATTAATTTATAATGAAAAGAAATCCATCATTCCAGTAACCTGGAAACTCTATGTAGAGAGATTGGGCTGGTGGGAGCAACAATGCAGCAGAGACGCCACCGGTGTGTGAACACGCACATGTGCTTCTCCACAGCAGCTCAGCGATGTCAGCCGCAACGCAACGCAGGAAGTGTGTTCCTGGCGTTACACCAGGCACAAAGCTGTTTATCTGTGTATTTGTGTATCTGTTGTGTTTACCTCTGTGTGAGTGAGAGTATCTGTCTCTCCCCCCTCAGTCGGTCCAGTCTGAACGCCCAGGCGGACAACCTGAAGCTGAACTGCGGGGAACAAGACTTCACCGCCGCCATCATCAGCATCCCCACGCCGCCCGCCAACACGCCTGACGAGAGCCTCCCCTCGTCGCCTGCCCCCATCCCCGGCATCCTGCGCAACACCCGCGCCACCGCCTACACCCATGAAACCGTCAAAATCTCCTCCTTATAACCTCCAACCTCACCTTAAACCCCCCCTGCCCGTTACCTACCCTGCAGCCCCTCCCAGTCCCCCCCCCCCCCCCCCCCCCCCCCCCCCCCCCCGTGTACTCTGAACCTTAGGAATCCCCTTGAACCCCCTGATCCTGAACCAGGGGCGCTGCTAGCTGACATTTTGGGGACAAAGACTCGGACGGATCCTCTGAGTGCAGATGGTTGCTTTCACTTCCTCACCCCATGTTGTGGACGATGTGGATAGAGCCATTTCATCAAGAGGCCAAACATACAGTGACACAAAATGAGAGTCTGGAAATCAAGGACTTCTCCCTGAGACTTTCCTCCATCTTCAGAATCTCCCCCTCATGTATTTTAGTCCCCAACAAGCACTTGACCCCTGCACAATTTTGACTTTTGGGCCTCATTGCACAAACCCTATGAAGGGACAAACAGGAAGCATGCCAGGACCTCCAAAGAATGACATTCAGCACCTGGAAACCACCTGATGGACCGCGGTCATTGGGTTCTTTTGGGTTGAAAGTGGCAGCTGAGGACGGTGGTCTTGGTGTTATGTTTTGGTTTGGTCTGTTTTTGAAAGACAAGTTGACGCGTTGGACCTGAGGGACTCCCAACCCCTGGAGGATCGTTCAGACTCAGCTGGTTTAAACTCATCTGTGACGATACGGAGACGGACTGTAGACAACCACACAACCCTTGGCGGCTTCAGAGACTCTAGATGTCGGTTGTCATGGCAAACAGATGGTGTTTTTCAGGCCAATCAGAAAATGACATGCGGATTGGTCTTTTGTTTGGTTTTCTTCAAACAGCTCCAGACTGGATCTTAGAGGCCTGACTGCAGAGAAACTGCTGCTCAGCTGAGTGTGATGTTGGACCTCTTTTTTTTGACATGCAAAAGTTGTAGGTGTAAGCCCCAACAGTGGGTCATCAGGTCGTCAAAAAGGATGAAGGATGACTCGAGTCAAACAGAATGCGGGAAGATGTGTGAGTGATCTCTTCACTGGCTTCAGGTCTTGTTTTTAGGGAAGGAAGGAAATAATGAACGAGAACTCTCAAGCTTTTGCCAGAATCCGGTTGCGAGAGGTGAAGGAACATGAAACTCATCCAGACGCTGCTGAAACATGTGAATCTGACACATGAACCAAACTGAACTGGGTTAACTGATCTATGCTGAGCCTGAATACTGTTCACACAACTACACTGAGCTGAACGCGACTTAAAGGAGCCGAACTGGGCCAAACGCAAACTGGTCTCAGAAGAACTGGATTTACCTGGTTTTCTTAAATGAGACTGTGGAGAGAGAAGGTTTAAATTAGGGATCCTGGCCTGGATTTATGTGGTCTGACGCGAACTGGTCTGGTCTGGTCTGGCTGTAGCTCAGAAGTGTTCTTCAGCTTGATGCCGACACCCGGACTGGGAACGAAAGCCTTTTACTTTTCAAAATATGCAACATTACAACAAGCAGGAAAATAGCATCAACAAATGAACAGAATAATAATAATAACAATAATAATGTGTGTGTTTAAAAACTACGGTCATTATTGCAGGGAACAAAAATGTAAAGCAACTAAGAAATTAATTTGTTATGTGAGAGAACATAACCAGTATTCTGCAATAGATTTAAATGGGACAGGGAAATGCAACACCAAAAGCTCTTTAGCATTGAAATCCGGTGACGTGCACTCTGGGTAAAAAAAAAAAAAAACATCACATTGATTAAGGCGGTAAAGATGTTTCAGTCCTGAATCTTTGAGTCTTCAGACTCTCACTTGAATCCCCTGAACATGAAGGAAAACCTGCTCATGCAAAATACACAAAATTATATTTAATCTTGTGCACACAATAGAGGATGTTAACTGTTACTGTTATGTTAGTATTAGCACAATAGGGCTTTCACCTGTGGTAGTGAAGCAAGCACCTGCTCGTTCATTGTCCCTGACGAAATTTGTCACTGCAGCAGACGGAACTAGAGACTCCAGTCACAAGCTTCTGTCTTTGTTGTCCGGCAGTGACACTGAGGAAGCTCGACATCAACAGACAGAAAAATCAGACACTGTATCTTTAGTTCAACCAATGAGAAAGCTTCTTCATAGTCTGCAAACTCTTCACAACTTCCCGTCTGGTCTCTGTTCCACTCGTTCCTGTAACTCAGTTGATCACAAAGCTAAAAACATTCAAAGGCTAATTATAGCTTTAAAAAAAAAGTTATTAGTTAAATATTAATTGAATTCAAATATTAATTAAATGTTATCTGTTATTTCTGCTGTTAAACTCTCTGTCCTGTCAAAACCTTTTTGAATGAGTTTTTCTCATTTCTGGAACAGTTCGAGGAAGTTCTGCTTTTCACTTCATCTAACTTACTAGCTTAGCTTAACTGGCAGTTCACAAGCTAACTAGCTAGCCCTGCAAGTGGGTTACCAAGCTCGTAGCACCATGTACTTCACCTGTGACCACGTCTTGAATAATAAAAATAATAAATATTTGTTAAATCCTTGATAAAATGAGCAGTCCTGGTTTATCAGAGAGAAAAAAGCAACAAAATAAATCTGAGAAAATAAACGAGTGGAACAGAGGCTGAGTTAAAAACAACATTTCTTTTAACATGCACACATTTGTGCTATTTCTCAACCGCCAATGGAAATTACATAATATTTAATAAGTCAGGACATGATGCAAAGATGTGTTGAACATGATTGGATGACCAGAGAACGGCATCAGCTACATGTGACTGAAGCTGTAAGTGTTTTGGCGAAGCATTTCCCCGACCATCCAGAGGCAAAGTGTGAGTGAGTGACACCCAGACGGGAGACAAGACGTACATACTGTAACATATTTTGTATCATAAACTTTCACCTGCATCTTCCAATCAAATCCCCAAACCCAGAAAAAAATAAGAAAAAAGAAAAAAAGATGGAGATGACGGTCATCGGGGATCTGACTGGCGTTCCTCTGTGCATGAGCCTCGTACAGTAGAAGTAGCACTACTGATCATAGGAACTTATCAACCATATCAGAGAAAAAATGAGATAAAAAAAAACAATGGGGAAAAAAGAATCTCATCATCCGTTCTTTTGCATGACGACTCTTCTTTTGTTCTCTTCTGTCAGTCGTTGGTTTGTTTTCCTCATCTCCCCCGACCCCCCCGACCCCCCCCCCCCCCCCTTCCCCACTGAAACTTTTAAAGACGAGTGTTTGCACCACGAGACGTGAACGTTAGATTAACGAGAAGAAACAAAGCAGATGATATAAAAATAAAAATCATTCAGGCATGTTCCTCGCCAGAATGCAAAGTGTGTGTGTGTGCGTGTGTGTGTGTGTGTGTGTGTGTGAGAACCGCCAGGTGTTTGTGTGTGTTTGTATGAATGTGTGTGTGTTTGTATGATGAGCAGTCACAAATATGCATGGATACCGTTATAGGTATTTTATCTGTTTTCTCTGGCAGTTTAAAGAGAGAGACGGCAGAGCGGAGACTGAACGTGCTGTCTCTTCACCTCGAGGATGTCTATCTGATGTCTGTTGTTTAAAATCTTTGTCACATTTTCTAAAATACATCAGCTGTCTTCATGTTTTCACTCTGTTCTGCAGCTGTGGCTCTCAGCCGGCCTCCATGCCCAAAGCTTCAATATTTATCACTGACATTATTGGAAAAACTCCATGTAAAGGTTTATGTTTTTCATGTCTTTTTTTTATTTTTGCAATCAATACTATATGCTTTTTGTAGTAATACTAATTAGTACCATAAAATAATGTATTTGTACCACGATTATTCACAGTAGATATACTTAAATTACTACATACATTAAAGTACATGCATACTACTACATATTACAAATTTGTCTGAGTGTCCATTTGAAATTATCCCAACTTGAGGTTCAGTTTCTAGCTTTTTTCCCAGAGCTTTCAGTCACTTGGATGCAGTTGAAAGCTCCAGAAAAAGCTAGTAAGTGGGCCTTGAGTCAGGATTTTTAACAGGCTAATGCAGTAATTAGTGGCATTTATAATTGTAATTTTGGCTTGAAGTTGATCAATTCTCTGACATTTATGGCTGAAAATTATCAAATAAATTCTCCCTTATTGCTAATAAGAATTTTACACTATTAAAACTATTTAAATTAAATTAAATTACCCAGTTAATAAATGTACATCCTCTTTGTTCTTCCATATAAATGTACTTAATTCCATCAGACAGCAGATATACCTGAACTTGTTTTATTTTTTCTGGGTCAAGACTCTTTCTAAAACTCTGTCAGGTGACGAGACAAACAGAATTAAAATAAAACGTTAAATCAAATGTCGGTTGAAACTCTGATCGTGCAGGGGCTTGTGGGTAACGGCTGGGAACCACGGCTCTACTTTACTTTGATCTACTGAGTCAGTTTCTGCTGCAGGGACGATTTCATGCATCACCTCTACTGATTCTGTCACTTCACATCTCTGACGTCGCCATAACAACCAGGAAACATCTGAATAACATTTTGTTCCAGGAAATATTGTGAAGAATATTTGGTTCAACTATTGACTATTTTCACCTATTATTGATCTAGTTATCCTTGTATCAATGAGCTCATTGTTTTATAAAATTATTGATCTACAATCAGATTCAGTGCATAAAATTCGGGATGGAGGTCAGCAAGAAGAAATTCTGAAAGGCACACATGATGATGATGCTAAGATAATATTTATAATGATCTAGGATTGACTATTGATTATTGCAGTCATAATTTTAGAGTAGTTTCACATAACAGGTCAATGAAACTTGTTTTGTTAAACTCCTGATTTGACATTTAGCAGATGTGGTCTGTCACAGCCTCAGGGATTTAAAGAGCAACTTTACACTAAATTCACTTGAAGGAAAGATAAATTACATTATATGTGCAGTCAGTTTGTTATGCTGGTTTTCATAGTTGTTCTTTGTTTTACTCCAGAAATTCTGTACTCCAGACCAGTGATTCCCAACTTTGTCAACGTGTGACCTCGTGAAGCAAATTCCACCTGTGTCTGACCAAAGATTTGATCTTTGCCTTTAGAATTTGTTATTTTTTAAACAATTTTAGAGGAAATTATGAAAGAACGTGGAATTACAACATATTAAAAAACAAATCTTGTTTTTGTCTATCCTCTTGATCATTTCATGGCGCCCTGTCTTGTGGCCCATTTAGGGATCTGGACCCACAGGTTGGAAACCACTGCTTAAGACCCAAATGAAAAGAATCACGTGAAACTGATTTTATGAATATGTGTAGCTAAAACCGAATGTCAGGTTGCTTTTATTTTGAGATGTTTCAGTGGACGAGCAGCTGTTGATCTGAAGTGGTGGTTACACAACAGCAGAACGTAAAGGTCAAGGGTTCACTTCCTGTCTGATGACGAACCAACAAACTGTGTTTATGGGACAAACATGACAAAGCACATTAGTCTCATTCTGAGGGTGAATAGACAATAGATGATCTGTTCAGATGATAACCAGTGCTTCGGAGTCAAACAGCTGTTCGTCCAGTGAACTGAAGGACAGTGATGTTCAGTCTCGGAGAGAGTGAGGAGTGGTGAATGAGTGAAGGAGAAAACAGCATTAAAGCACAGAGGTGTATATTCCATTCCACTAATAAAGACAACAGAAACCAGAACAGGCTGCGTCTCATTCTTTATGAATGTTCAGTCACATGCGTTCTCTGAGGTCAGGGTGGGGGTCCAGCTCTGCTCATTCTTTATGAATGTTCAGTCACAGTACATGCTCAAGCTTTTATGCAATAACAGGAAGGGCTTGGTTTCCTGTTGGCGCAGTATATATTCAGATGTTGTAGGCTGTTCGTATGAAACCTTCCACCAAACATGGAGAGCTTCAGAAAAGCAGTGACTTCAGTTCTTAATCAGTTCAGTAAAACAGTCAGCATTTATATTGCAGTCATTACGATTTGTTCTTACCATGTCATATTTGACAAGGACTTGCCGTGCACCTGCAAGGACCAACTCACTGACTGCTCATTGTACATGATTCTGCCAGCATTTCTTTTTGTTATCGTAGTCCTCTGGCTGGACAAAACCTTTCAGAGAGTCTGTAAATTCATGCTGGCAGATTGTAACAGGAAGTTTATTTGTATTTTTTTTTGTCAGATTTTTAAAGCACTTCTTGTTGGTCTGCTGTGGGTTATATCTGTGTTGATTGATGGAGACTGGTACCTTTGCTGTTGTAATGATTACTATGAACAACATCCACAGTTAGCCTGCAAAGACGAAGGTCAAATCGAAAGTGAGGAGAAAACAATCATCGCTGAGCTGAAAAACAAGTCAAGGGTGAGTATTTATCTTGTTATTGTTGTTATTGTTGATTATTCTCCAGTTTTTGGATGACAACCAGGTTTCCTACATCAGCTTCAGTGGTTGAGAGAGCCCTGGTTAACACAGATATTCACCTGAGAAACCCTGATCTCTCAATCTTCTAGAAAACAACTAAAATACATGACATGCTATGATAAAACCAGATTTTTGATGCTGTTTTTCAGGTTATTGGCCTGCCTCTTCTCCTCGTTATGACTTTTGTGTTTGCCTTAGTGTCATCAATACCGTGGTGGAAACGCTGCGCTGATCGTTTCGACAAAAATCTTCTCTTTGACATGATTATTTTGGAAGAGGCGGAAAATCTTGTGACAAAGAGATTGAGAAAAGCTGCAAAAGACAAGCTAATTGTAAAACTCAACAACTATGTAAATCGTGGAGAATGGGTAAAATGTTTTGGTGTTGCAGAAGAGGTAATTAAAGAAACATCTCCCAAACAATCAGCTGAATCCTCACCTCCCGAACAATCAGCTGAATCTTCATCTCCCGAACAAGATGGATTAATTGCTGAAACAATCAGCTGAATCTTCACCTCCCGAACAATCAGCTGAATCTTCATCTCCCGAAACATCAGCTGTATCTTCATCTCCCGAACAATCAGCGTATTCATCTCCCAAACATCCACTAATCTTCATCTCCAACAATCAGCTGTATCTTCATCTCCCAAACAATCAGCTGAATCTTCATCTCCCAAACAATCAGCTGTATCTTTCATCTCCCAAACAATCAGCTGTATCTTTCATCCCCAAACAATCACTTTACACAAATAATACAAAAACATATTGCTAACATATTTGTATTGCTAAGTTATCTTAAGCCACACAATGTCAGTGGGTCATTCACTTTAGTCCAGACTGAGATATCTGAAACAACTACTGGATGATGCCATAAAATTTGGTGCAATTTTTTTTCTAAAAAAAAAAGTACCCTAATGACTGTAAAAAAAAAAGCTGTATGTAACTCAAACTGTGTGGCCTGACCTGACCTGACCTCACCAACCCATAAATCTGCAAGTCACCCTGCAAGGAGCTACAGGATGTGGTCCAGTTTCTCAGCAGGCAGAGCTGAAGTGCTACTTGAGCGTCAGATATAGACTCAGTGTGCCAGGTGAAGAAAGGGGAACAATTGGCTGTGTTAGTTTGCTCAGTTATCTGGACAGTTCAGGGGCTTTTTGATGAATTATGGGGGAAATTCTGGTTTGCTTTGAGATTGTTTTGGCTCTTCTCTTTGGCTTGACCTACAGTAACATTGGGAAACTTGACTAATTTTCTGGTTAGACTCATTATTATCATTCATGTCTGATAAATGCTTGTTTGCTATGATTTTGACCAACATAATTTAGTGTTAAAATTTTAATGTGATTTTAACCTTTTCTTCTAGTTACAAATGTAATTGTTTTGAAAAACAGGGTGTGACATTTTTGCTGTTCTTTTCTATTGCAATTTAAAATATAATTTTAATACTTAATAATTTTGTTTGTAACATTTAGCATTTATGTTATTATACAGAAGCCTATTTTGGCTATATTTAGTGACTTTGTTTTGGTTGCTTGTGACTTAATTTGGTGCTCTCATCAGGTCAAAGTTTTAAACTTGTTCAATAAATTGTTTTATAACCAAATAAATGACGTTCCTTCAGCTTTAGATGGACCTGTATCGCTTTTGTTGTTAAATAGCAAATTTGTGGCTCTTTAATGGACAGGACTGTAGAGAGACCAAGGAAATGGGGAGGCAGAAGAAGAGGGGGAAATTGACAGCCATGGAAAAGTGGTTTTATAATAGTTTAAAATAGTTATTAAAACATAAAAAGCTTTGTTTTTAACGGATGCCCTGTAGGTTTTAAGTACCCTGTTTCAATTAATAGTATTTTAATTTGATTATAAAGTATTTAATCAAATTTTAAATTCTTAGTGTGTTAATGGTGTCCATTTAACACAGGATAAGTCAATGACGTTTATCATAATTCAAATTATTTATTTTGCTTGTAGAACACTGTACACGGTGTATACTATGATATTGTGTTCCGGTGGAACCATACAGACTCCATACTTTTGTTTCGTTCCTTGTTTTTCAGAATGGAATCGATCGGGACCGGGGATGCTCTGTTTGGGACGGAGCTGTGGAGGAATAGCCATTTCGCGCGCAATTTGAATCATGGGAAGTGGGCTGGCTCAAGCGTGTCCTCTAGTCTAGCTGCACCAAACCATCGCTTTTTCTCAAACCCTCTGGTCTCCCTCTCTTCTTTCTCTTTGATCTGGCTTGTCGCGCAGTTTCCTCGTTCGCCGTCGTGGGAATCAATTGGTCTCCGTCAGAAACCGAGATCCCGTCTGATTCCCTCGTGTCATAAGAACCCGTTTAAAATCCGTCGGTAACAGGCGACGGTAAACTACAGAGCTGTAAACTAACATTTAACTCAAAGTTTTTTATTTTACAAAACCAATTATCTTCGTCGTCATTCGTTCTTCTACCTGCCTAAGAAGACTACCTGTCGTACTCACCTGTCGCCGGCATGATAGTCGGCGAGGCATAATTGGCAGCAGAGCAGACTGCACCGGTGAGAAAATCAGTGCGAAAACTGTGAAGAAACGAAATAAAAAAAAACAGGACATACCGGGACTCCTTCTAGCGGGGGACTTGTAGCTTCGCGTTCAATGGATTTACTCGATGCAGGAGAGGAAGTTCAGTCCGCCCCAGACAGATACAGGTGAGTCACAGTACCGTAGTATCAACAGGCTGCTGTGAGTCACAGCTCGTAGCGAGGGTTTTTCAAGTTATCACCAGAGATTAAATAATCAGAAAACCAACCAAAATGGTTTTCTCTGTTAAAAACTGAAAGTGGTTAATAATTTATAACAATGATGTGGACTGACAGTGAAGTTTTAATAAGGTTTAAAGTGGTTTCTCAGCTACAAACTGTTCTGTTTCCTATATGTCTTGTACTGGCTTTCCACAGCAGGTTTCACTGGTGTTTGATGTGGTGGTGTAAGATTTGTGAGTTGTTGTCTGTATGATGTATTTATAACTATTATGACGGTTCTGATGGATTCCGAGCTTCTAAACCATATCCAACTTCAATAACATAAAACAAACCTTCATAATG